CAAACTGGTTCAACAGTACTGGACTCACCTCCGTATGGTAAATGGCCATGACAGCCGTTAACGGCAATCTAGAAACTTGAGATAGTTTTAACATGATTAATGCATCAGATTTATTATTATTATTATTATTATTATTTGTACGGCGGAGGCACCGGGTACCGCAGGATGGAAACCAGGTACTGCGGGGAGGAAACCAGGTCCCGCCAGAGGGAATCTCTGTGCAAGTCTGTCTGTCTTCACCCCGTTTGGAATTCAAAAACTAATATTACAGTAATTGGTATAAGTGTATTCCAATCTGGCTGTTGCTGTTTTTCAATATTCAAACTTCAAACATCATGTTGCATCAAATCACCAGTTTTGGTGCAAAGGTTAAGCAAAGCATGATTGCACACTATTGCATGCTCTTGACAAGGCTGTCTTTTTGGAAACAATGATTCCAGCGGCCAGGAAATTGATGAGGATCAAAGCAAAGAAGTCAACCGCTCCACCAGCAAATGCAAATGCAATTCTCAAAAGCCGCCCGCATCAGCCAACAGGACGACTCGATCGCGGAATCAGAAAGGACATCATTCGATCTCGGGGCAAGGATACAGAAGCAACTGCCACCTACGCCAAAACATCACCTGCGCAGCCACCAAAGCATACAACTCCTCCCAAAACAAAAACCACCCATTCAGTCTACCAGTCACAGGCCAACAATGATGCCAAACAGAGTACTCGCCAAAATGTTGCAAAGCTGATGCCGTCTAGTCAGTTGCATAAATTGACACCCCACGGGAGTACCAGAAAGGCAAAACAAATGTCTACAATTGCACGCACTTCAACAGCAGTAGGTTCAAGATCTACAATCAAGATCATTTGAGACTGAGTGCAAGAAGAATGGAATTTCTGTGGCCTGCCACCAAATCATTCGGTGGACTATTCAGCAATGGCCGATCAACTTTTTCATGAAGCTTTCAAATTCATGGGCAATGACTCGACTGAGTTCCCATTCGGCACCGCAAAAAGAAGGTATGCCCCTTTGGACATCTCCTCCTACAAGATATCTACAAGATACCCCGAGAAGGGGAAGTTTGACTCTATCAGCTTGTATTGCAATGCCCAGTTGATTGTCTTGTTCTCTCAGTTTACCTATAGAGGTGAAAATGCCTATAGTGAGATCAAATTCATTCCGACTCACTGCAAATTGATTGACGTACTCAGCGACCCAAACGAAAGCAGCACTGATAAAGCGCCACTGCCTTACGTTTTGGGGCACTGTGGCGCAGAAATCCTTGAAGCAGAGTGCATTGACTGTACCATTTCTGGAATGAATCACTTCTTGAAAGCTTGGATTGTCAATCCACAAAACGTCATAAAAAGAAGGCATTTGAAAACAACAGCAACCCCTTCAACTCTGCAAGCAGCAATCATTGTTGCAAAGCCTTTGAGAGACTATGGGGGTGAATCTCACAACCCCGAGAAAGTAGCAATAAAATTTCAAGCTCTTATGAATCGTCTTGACGTGTATTGCAACAACACAGGCGGCAGGGCTTTCAATTTAAAATCTATTCCCCTGAAGATTCTCAAAGATACGTCCACTGCCATGATGAAAGTCTGAAAAATCAAGGAAGTCACTTACAGTTGTCTCTTCAGTTCCACAGCAAACGACCAAGTTGACCTGTGGCTTCGAGTCTATGAATCTTACACACTTCATGCAAAAGTATATTATGACAAATGGCGCTCTCACTACAGAAACTATCCAAAATATTATCAAAGCAGTGGAGCACGCTCTAGACTACGATGCTGGCGATGCCCTCGCTCTTTGGTCAGATCTGAGGAAAGGTGCTGAGGCACTTTGCATGAGCAATACTCCAGTTGACACGCCGATGAAGAGTCCACAATCTCAGGTTCCCGCCATGGAATCACAAAAGCCCCCAGATACGTTTTCTTCATGTTCTGAAGACAAACGCAAATCAAGCAGCAAAAAAGATGTGGTCAAAAGGCGACTATTTCCGAGCGCCAAGAACATACCGTCTCGACTTGGTGTTTTGGTGGATTTATCTTGTCCTGATAACAACAGCAAATCAAGCAGCGATGAAGATGTGGTCAACAAGCGACTCCTTCCGAGGGCAAAGAACATACCGTCTTGACGCGGTGTTTTGGTGGATTTAAACGGAACTAGAGTGAGAACCGATTTGAAGCGCAAGCGTGGACATCTGGGTCCAATGGACAAGAGCACCGCACTACCACAAAAGGGAAACGGAGACAATGGCCGGCTCGGACTGAGGAACAAACGAGGAAACAGTACTATATGATCAACCAAAACGCAGAAGGGTGGTGATCGTTAAACTGTAACCAAGAAGAAATCACCCATAGAAAGAAACGCCGAGAATCGCAAGAAAGCCATCATGAAGAAATTGGAAGCACGCGAAGCGGATGTGGAGCATCTTACAGGAATGCTATCACAGGATCCAAAACCAACTGACAAAGATCAACCTGAAAAGCCCCCAAAAAGGACCAGAGAAATAGTGGGACAGCATGCCGCAACCATTGCCCAAACCAAGGATGGTACACAGAGAAGATCAGTGTCAAAGTTATTCAAGATGAACCAGCGCTGCAATGTACAGGGAGAATATGGTAACAAGACATTGAATGAGGCTTGGCCCAAATTTCTGTCCGTCACATTCTTTAAAGACAAAGTTGTGGAGTGGCCAGGACACTTTGGCAATGTCTCATCTTGTAGGGAGGATCCATTGGTAACTTGTCTTGGGTTGCACAACCGGGACCAACTCTGCAATTTTGTGGAATATTTATGCAAAAGGCTGGAAGATATTCAATTTGTGTCAGACAAACATGACTTGGATAATATGGTCTTTGGGAATCGCGGCAGAGCCGTTTCTCAGAAGAAACTTTTGAATATGGTTAACTACGTTCAGAAATGTAGAGAGAATCAAGATACCTGCGGCGGTTTGAAAACGATCGATAGACGAAACAGTCCGCTGCTGCTGGAAGAGGCAAAGAGGCCACTTAGAGGAGAAGTCGATGATCCTTTGCTTGATGACTGAGATGATGACAATTCAACTGATACCAAATGAAGATAATTCTACAATAAACTTATGCAATTGGTTACTTCTATTCTTCAAAAGCGAAATTGATCAATGATATCACTTTCAAGGGAATATATGAAGTGCTTCAGCTCTCCTGTTCTACTGTCATAGTCTGTATGATTGTCATTTATTTTGACTGCTTCTGCTCGTTCAAGATGCTGCTCATACACACGAGGAAACTCTTTAAAGTATCTCTTTCTTGATTTGCAAAGGAGTGCAAGGAGGCTCTCTCTTGATTCTTGATTGCTGTTCATGATTTGAGGAATCAGAGTATAGTGCGTTTCTCGAAGATGATCAAGATCTCTTTTGATATCCTTTTTTGGGAACTTGATCTTCAAGTCCTGCAAATCTGCTGGAGATGTCGATAATTTCACCACCATCATCTTGTGCATTTCCAGTTGTCGCACCAAAGATTGTGATGCAATAAACCTGAGCGTTTGATTTAAACCTTCTTGCTTTGCAGGGTGCCAATACTGAATGTGCCACTTCTTATAATATTCCCTCACTCTGTTTTCGCCTGTTTTTCATAGGCTGACAAGTAAGAGCTACTCATAGGTTGCATGCCGTCTTCCCCTGGAATGGGGAACTCAAATGTTGTTTCTGAGACTTTGCTGTCGCCACCAAAAGGGTCTGGGCCTGATTTGCACCAAAGATTTGACCGACGCGCTTTCAGATACGTTTTCACATAAACTTTGCTAAGCTTGACAGATTGTAGATTGAATGCCGGACTTGAGTACATGTCAAGATTATGGAATCGCAGGAGCAACCCTCTCAAGACGCAAATTCTGGTTGGGCGTTGCATACTTTCCCAAGAACATCCTTGTGTGTCGCATGGTCCATTCTACCGCTCTATCAGCCCAAATTGGCTTTCCAAGTGGGCTCTTTTGAGTGAAAACATACTTTGGAAAAGATAGTTTCTCAGCGTCAGATGCCATTTCCCACCATTCCAAAAAGTCACAACAAATGTGCATGTAGTTTGTTGCATGCAATGCCGCAAAGATTGGCAACAAAGTCTCATCGTTGCAACGAAGAGATCAACATCTCCGTTTTTGCCCGACTTCTCTGAATCTTGTACCATCAGTGTGATCTCAATGAACCTCAAAGCAAGCAAGACAGCCATACAGATTGGGAACTCTAAAGCCCGTTCAAGCATATGCTCATGGACATCAGCTGCTGAAATCGGCTCGCCATCATTATCAGCCTGCAGGCCATCTGCCGCAGCACGATAGTGAGCCAAAATGAATTGTGGTATTTCCAAGACATAGTCGGTAGGTTTGCTGACAACAAGAAGCCAATTAAGCTGTGGCTCTGTTGGGCGCCAGTTGCTGAAAGAAAGTCACGCGACAGACGGTTTGACATATTTGCCACCTCCATAAGATGGTGCATTCCACCCATGAAAAACCGTACCTTTGGATACCGCAGTTTGCTTCCTTTGTCTCTATGTTTTCTTCTATCCTACTCAATTTTGTCTAGAAAGCGTTTCTGTGTCAAGCCATCACAAGTTGCTGGAGAAAAGAGACCACAAACTGGGGGCTCTCCATTTGTTTCTGCAAGATCTAGCAAATCTTTGTCCCAGTTTGAAAAACGCTCTAAGTAATCCATAATCTTCTTGACTGTTTTTGTTGCATTTGGGTCTTCATGCAGTGGCTTATCAAGATGTATGTTGTTGGCTTCGTATATTGTTGGACTGCCTTCAAAGTGGAGTGTATGCTGTTTTCTCTCTGCCATTCCATTACGTTTAGTAGAGGTTTCTTTGATACGGACCTTCTTTGTCTCAACTTCTTCTCCTGGCTTCTTTGGGAGAATGGGGTTGATGATTTCACTTCCTAGATTCAGCATTCATCAGCAGTTGGTAGGTTTAGGTTGATGGCACAGTCAATCGATTTTAGAACCTGCCGATTTAGCAGTGCTTTGTCGTCTTCTCTCACATCGACAACTTTTGCAACAAGGTTGTCCATTTCCTCAAATTCTGCTGCCCCCTCTGGATCATCTTCCACATCATACATATCAAGCTCCACGGTCTCGGCCAACTGGGAAAATGTTAATTGCTTACGATCAAGTGTGCCTTGATAAAACCCATCATTCTTCAATTGGGTCTTTGAAATGGTCTTCACTTGTATGACGCAGTGTTGCGACCACAATTTTTTCCTGCCTTTGAATCCAACGTTGTCAAAATGTGCGCTTGCCATGTCCAAGATATCCGTGGCAACTCTAACACCAGCAGACGTTTCCTGGCCAGCAACCGCCAAGTTGCCAAGATGTGAAGTACTAGCTGAAAGTCTGATTGACGACAAATACGCCAAAAGTTCCGCCTTGACATTGTAATGTTCCAGCTGTGCGGAAAGCATCAGCTGAAATGGTGCAGGCCTGCTGAGTGCAATATTTTGAAGCATGTCTTTGGTGACTGCAACAGCCATGAATTGAGATTGATATCCTTGGTAGAGCTCAAGCTGTTCGGCCTCCAGCTGCATCTTTCCAGTGGCAAATGCAAACAGAAGTTTCGACATCAAGCTCGGATCTTCAAAAGCGGCATATTCAAAATGTTTTGTTCTTAAAAAGTATTTTGTGCTGATTGAACAAGGGCACATGAAGAACTGAAAAGGTTTGGTGTAGATATGTTTCGTCGGCGTCCGACTTGGGGTCATAGTTGCTGTCCAAACAAGCAGTAAGAGATGTACTTGCAAATCCTTCTTGTTCATCTTGCTTCAGAAGAGGGAAAGCAAGGGAAAAGATGAACAGCTTCCCCTTTTCTTCTCCTTTCAGCTTCTTGAATGATGACGCATAGTATCAAACAGGGTATTTATCCAGATCTGGCTTGTGGTCAACAACAGGCAAAGTTACACAGAATGTCTTTGAAGTTTGATCAACGCGGTAGTAGCAAAAGTTGGTGATTGCCGTGTTACAATTTGCACAAATTGGCATGCGGAATTTCCTGTTTGTCACACAAATCATGGCGCAAGAGGGCAAAAGAAGCACAAACAGCTCTCATTACGACAGAAGGCATTGCCTGTGCCATCAAAGCTGATGTCCAATTTTTGATTGCAGCCAGAGCACTTCCTCATTCTACAACAGACCAAACCAATGTAAAGTGGACAAGATCCATCTTATCATTCATTGTCATTGTGTTCATTCCGCCGCATTGGCAGCATCCACGGTTTAGGCCACAAGCAATCATGGTAGGAGAATACAACTGAAGAAATTCAAAGAATTTTAGATGTATTCCAACTTGGACTACACTTATACCAACTACTGTATTCTTAGTTTTTGTATTCCAAAGGAGGTGAAGACAGACCGACTTGCACAGAGGATCCTTATGGCGGAACCCGGTTTCCATCCTGCGGTACCCGGTTCTGTCAGGCCGCAACACCGTCCTGGCTGGTGGTCAAAACACAGATGATGTTCATCGTACGTATAACGGACTATGTCTGTGCATCGTACGTTGAATCTGCTCACTTTGTTTGCACAATCAGAGATGAATAATCTCAGAACTGAATTATCTCAAATCACATACAGTATAATATAGTCATGGCACCGCAGTACCAGCAATGTTCTTTCATACTTCTGGCTATCATGACCACCATGGCGAGCATTTTGATAATTGACATGGATTTGCTTTGTCATCACTTTCATGACACCAGCTTAATGAGTCAGCCATTCATTCATTCATCAGTCATGGCGTTGGCCACCACCATGATGATGGCTGTGTATCTACATTTCAATGATGATGATAATTTCAAATAGAGGGATATCATACCACTGTTTGCTTTTTTAGATACTGGTAGGACTGGCTTGCTGGTTGTGGTGCCCTCCTCAATTGATGATGGAACCGGTATTATTGTTGGTTGCTGAGATAAGAATGGCTGATGATTCACTGACTCCAGTCAACTGGCGAGTCCTCTCTTGAATTTCGTTGATTGGCTTGGGCCGTTTATGTAGGGTATCATGAAATATCATGGAATGGATTGGATCTTTATATTCTGCAAGACATTTTCAATCAAACGAAACCGATGTTCAGCAAACTACGACCATGAATCTTCCAATGATATTGATGAGCCGGCTTCACTATCCTGGTCTCTTCCAGGATTGCTGCTGCTGCAGCTCCAGTAATAAGACCATGGATTGATTCCATGGAAGAAATAATATCCACGGCAGGAGGAGCGAGATCACATCAAGTCCAACAAGAACGGACCATGCACGGATACCTCATCCTTTAGACGTATGCGGTAACAGCGTCCATCATTTTTCAAAATTTAAAGTCCCACACGGCGTCACACTGAGTGGTAATGAAACCCAGACAGTCTCTCCTCTCGTGGGATCGATACTACTAATTTTGAAGTTCAGATTTGCTGGCATGCTTGTCCTGTTGGAAAAGTGCTATTTTACTTAACAACTGTACCTGCCCTCTGGCAACAGCGAAGAAATTAATCGCCGACGTTTGTCCTGCATCAGGCAAACACATAAAGGGACGTGTGACGTTTATTTGTTCTTTCTTGGTTGCTTGCGGTATGATGTTCAATCACAATCATCATCTGTGCTCGCATTATACTCCATTCCTTCTCTAATATGGATGGAGCTATTATTGACAAAACATGACTTCAGCATGAATAGGTCTCTTGTTTGTATGAAGTGATATGGATGCATTTGCCCCTTTCACCTCTGAAATCACTGCCAAGAAAGAACCGCAACAAGGTCTGAAAACTGCTTTTAGAGAGGTTTCGGGACGTCTACGAAGTCCCAAGGCGACACTGAGCTCGAATTTTCTGCGGAAGTTGCTTGTGTTGTTATGCTAAAGGCGATGCCACCATTTCATGTGCAATATCTGGGTTTTGGCAGGACAATTTTCAACGGAGACCATTGAGTTGCAAATTTGTCGGTCACAATGAAATTGCACGGCCTGGACCCCATGAGTGGAGAAAGTGGAATCAGAGGTTGTGGCAAGCATAGTTGATATATATGTTACGTTGGGAGCAGCGGTAGTTATGTTGAATATCTTTTGCTGTGCCACAATCACACAATAATCCACCAAGATTGGTTCCGTTGGTTGCTTGGACTGGACGGATAGGAGTCAAGAAGACGTGTTTGCCGAATGCGACTCATATCTACCATCACCATCAAGACAAAATCTACACATATATTCAATTTTGGGCTCTCAAATACCAAAATTGACGATTTGGAGCCCATCAAGGTGCCATGGTGCAATTGTTCCCCTCGTTTGGATAAGCCAGTGTGGGCGCCCAGCGAAGTAAAAACAGCCGAACTTGCTGTGGAAAGCGAATGTGGTAGATGGGCTATGGCTGGAGGGCGATTCATACTTCTATTTGCCTCAATTACACTACAATCTACCCTGTTTCGTTTGACTGGTTCTGTTGGGTTGCAGAAACTGGTCGGCACGGTTACCTCATCCTTTTAAGAATTTTCTTCCTTCTTCCTCTTCTTTTCCCCCTCTCTCCCCGCCTTCCCCCCCTAAGCCCTCTAGGTTTTTTCATGACATGATTTCATTCTCCACTCCATTTTTCATTGACTCCGGTTTCTGTGATGAAAGCAACGACTCTTCAGCTCAAAAACTGACTGTCAGTTCTTGTGCTAATCAAAAGTCATCATCGTGGGCATCGACAAGCTCATGAATAGACATGAAATAGCTACTGCTTGGATTAGCTGATGTTTCATTTTGCATCTAGTGCTTATTTTTTATTTTTCTAGTTCATCTTCGAACTTATTATATTGTTCCCATTCAAAGTTTTGGATGTTGAAGGTTCAGCTTAGCTTCCGTATCTGCATCACAGCCAAATAACCACATTCCCAACAGCAGATCTGTGCCTGGAACTTCTCACTAACGAGCTCGAACTTGGCAGACATGGCATTCGAAAATGCTTGGGTGAAGGATCGGTACTTCTTCTTGACGTCTTGTGCGGAAACATTGATGGACTCGTAGTCAACGGATTGGTGGTGTGCCTCGAACTTCTCACTAACGAGCTCGAACTTGGCAGACATGGCATTCGACAATGCTTGGGTGAAGGATCGGTACTTCTTCTTGACGTCTTGTACGAAAACATCGATGGACTCGTAGTCAATGGATTGGTGGTGTGCCTCGAACTTCTCACTAAAGAGCTCGAACTTGGCAGACATGGCATTCGAAAATGCTTGGGTGAAGGATTCGTACTTCTTCTTGACGTCTTGTGCGGAAACGCTGATGGACTCGTAGTCAACGGATTGGTGGTGTGCCTCGAACTTTTCACTAAAGAGCTCGAACTTGGCAGACATGGCATTCGAAAATGCTTGGGTGAAGGATCGGTACTTCTTCTTGACGTCTTGTACGAAAACATTGATGGACTCGTAGTCAATGGATTGGTGGTGTGCCTCGAACTTCTCACTAAAGAGCTCGAACTTGGCAGACATGGCATTCGAAAATGCTTGGGTGAAGGATCGGTACTTCTTCTTGACGTCTTGTACGAAAACATTGATGGACTCGTAGTCAATGGATTGGTGGTGTGCCTCGAACTTCTCACTCAAGAGCTCGAACTTGGCAGACATGGCATTCGAAAATGCTTGGGTGAAGGATTCGTACTTCTTCTTGACGTCTTGTGCGGAAACGCTGATGGACTCGTAGTCAACGGATTGGTGGTGTGCCTCGAACTTTTCACTAAAGAGCTCGAACTTGGCAGACATGGCATTCGAAAATGCTTGGGTGAAGGATCGGTACTTCTTCTTGACGTCTTGTACGAAAACATTGATGGACTCGTAGTCAATGGATTGGTGGTGTGCCTCGAACTTCTCACTAAAGAGCTCGAACTTGGCAGACATGGCATTCGAAAATGCTTGGGTGAAGGATCGGTACTTCTTCTTGACGTCTTGTACGAAAACATTGATGGACTCGTAGTCAATGGATTGGTGGTGTGCCTCGAACTTCTCACTCAAGAGCTCGAACTTGGCAGACATGGCATTCGAAAATGCTTGGGTGAAGGATTCGTACTTCTTCTTGACGTCTTGTGCGGAAACGCTGATGGACTCGTAGTCAACGGATTGGTGGTGTGCCTCGAACTTTTCACTAAAGAGCTCGAAACAGTTAGAAATGGCAACCGACACTTCTTGGGTGAAGGTTACGTATTTCTTCTTGAAGACTTGTGCGAAAGCCCTGATCGGTTCGTAGCTGATTGGTCGGATGGACACCACAAGGGAGAAAGAAGGGATGTCAATAGTGGATCCCATTTCCACGGTGGTTCCAACAAAGTCAACAGTGGAAACAAGGTTTTCGTTGGCCCAGAATCTGGAGACTTGAACGGATGGACGAGTGTAGCTTGCACTCATCAAACAAGGCATAGCCATGGGCTGCATTGCCAGAAGACATAGAATCGTCATGATGGATCGAAGAGACAACATGGTGTGTTTGTTTGTTTTGTTGTTCAAAAGGTTTCGAAAGGACTGAGTGAATGTGAACGTGAATGCAATTGATTCAATGTCAAAATTATGAGCAGGTTGATTCTGTCATTGTGAAATGAAGTTGCTGGGTTGAAGCAAGATCAAAACAAAACAAAACAAAACAAACAGAAAGAAAGAAACGGTTCGGTGGTCGTAGCAAACGTAGCACAGCATCGTTCAAACACTCTCCTGAAAACCGTTTCTCAAATCACCGTGTCGGCGAAACCATAAACACGTTTTCGGCAGCGAAATGAAATCCGGTCCTATTGAATCCACTTCATTGTAGCTAGTGCTGTAGGGAGCATTGGTGCTTAAGATATCATGGATTGCAATCCGTCATGGTCGCAATTGTTAGTTGGTGATTTTTGTTTTTGTTGCCATGATGATTAGAAATTATCATCGTTCGTCGTAGTATCATGCGATGTGAATTTGTGTCTGGGATCACGCGCGCGCAAGCTCGCGTACGCATGTACCGTAATTATACGGTACCAGGTACCTTGGCGTGCTCCTCCTGTTGACTTCCTGTGGCGGTTGCCTTCTTCTTCTGCTCTGCAAGGATTCTTTTCTTCTTGCTTCTCACCATATCCTTGGTCAACCATTCGTACACATTCTGCTTTTCCTTCACCATAGCTCCGAACTCACCATAAATCTCCTTATGGGAATGACTTTTGGCTTGAAGATCAATGAGCCATTTTGCCAACTCTTCAACAATCGGCTTTCTGGCCCTTTTGGCCTCTACACTTACCCTCCCAGGGGCTTCTTGCGTACGCCTCTTGTTTGACTTTGCCATCGTTTGTTTCTTTCAGAGATAGTGGAGTGAGTTTTAGAAAAATGATCGGGCTAAATCAGTACGTTTCTGTTTTGGTACTATTTTACGTAGGTCTACGCTGTGGACGAGGCACAGACGCATTTTAAAGATGTAGTCAATTTTGGCTCGACTTCACCGCGCCCGTTTTCTAACATCGTCAACCTATCCGTACAGAAATACCATACTAGAACTAACTAAGGAAAGCAGCCAATCAGCATGTTGAATGGTCAAATAATAAAATATTAGCCGATGTCCTTGGATTTTTGGGGAACCTTTTTCTTCCTGTTTGGTTGACGCCATCAGAGATGTAGTCGTTCTGAAGGGTGAAAAGTGAGAACAGGTTTTCGACTGGTACCGGGCGGTACTCGTCCTCGTAGCAAGAGTACCAGGTACGAGCATACTCTTGCTCGTACACATCATTCAAAACGATGAAAGGGCTGCTATAGTGTTAACCACTATTTCGGTCAGAAGGTCTGACGACTTGATGACATAATATAGGAGGGTGAATTTTTTGATGCGAGCCTGGCGAAGCACGTACTTTTTACCACTAAAAATCAGTAGAAATTGAAGAACAGTCGTACCCCAGTTAGATGTATCGGACTAAGAACTATGGTGGCAAAATAAGGTATAATAATGATAACTAATGTCTAGAGATATTAATCGTGCACGAAGTTCACTTGAAATGTCCAAGCTTCCCAAATGCCACAAAATAATTCAATATCCCATGGTTGATATGAACAGCCACGTTTCAGGTACCACGACATCTTGCAGCGTTGAACAGCACGTTCATTTCCAGATCGTATTACAGCAATACAAACAGAGTGTAAAGTATCATTTCCAGTGAATTGAGAATCCCCTTTTGAGTATGTTGGTTACATACATCGTTGGCCCTCCATGCTTGAGTCAAGCGTGTTTCTGAAACAACCACTTTTCAAGCCAAGTGAGTTTGGAACATGTTGTGAAAAGCTGATCCAAATCACCATGGCACACAAGAATCGCATAAGAGAGGAGGTTCGGCAAATCTCTGAATCCGGTTTGACGCTTTACTTCCATTGGAGTTAGATCATTTGGTTTGATACAAGGGCGCTCCAACTCTTCCATCTCGCTAGGAATATGTTTCTCATGTCGAGGAAACAAAAGCACACAATGAATTGGGCTTTGCGATCCACATCAAGTGGATGATGTTATGTTGGGAGAGCAATCGTGGGGTGATATCAACCAGCGATTCTTGGTTGAAGCCGCTGGTCTAGATGTACATTGTGGATCACTAGATGTTCAGACACCGGAGAAACCACAGTTGGGCAGAGATGTGGCCTATCGGAACTCACGCCTTTGCTGACTGTCTTTGTTGGGCTTCAGAATCCTTTGCTACCGGTGCCAACTGGTGCCAAGAAATCGTCAATGCGAATTGTTGGAGTTGATCCATCTAGTAACCTGCAAGTTGTAGATTTGTTCGTCCATTCCATCTGATGGTCGCCAAAGTGCATTGAGATTTGACACGCTTTCCCTTTGCGACGCCACTTCTCACAACACGGACGTTTTCCAGTTGGGCTGGTGCTCCCCTGTCAAATAGCCAGAATGTGTCGGCTCATATTTGATACTATTGGACAGACAGATAAAGTTGTCGCACTGAAGTCCTGCCGGAACATGGGAATATCTTGTCGGTTTGAATCGAGATGACGCTTCCACGAGATCCGTCAGAAACTTTTCCTTAGCTTCATCTGGATCCGCCCCGCTGAAATCAATATTTGACCTGACTGCAGCTGATTTCTTAGCCCCAAAACCAACTATACCGCCAGGCAATGCATCACAACCAAGGGTGAGCGCAAAAAGAGTCCGAACACGAATGGAGTCCAAGCCATCAATGATTGGATATGGCGGCGACTCGAGTCTGAAAGATGGTTTGTTAGACCTTTAATTTCTCTATCAGCAAAGCATTGTGCAATTAAAAAAACTGCTCTAGCTGGTGGCTCAAAAAGAGCTATCCGAGTAGTGAGGCACCCAATGAAACTGCTGGACGGATGCGTGAGGTGATATTGTTGCGTTTGCGCATCAGGTAATGCTGCTCCAAAAAGTAGACAATGGTAGGAAAGTCAACCTTGATAGACTTCCATAGGATGCTGTTTTGATCGTTGACTCCCATGCTTCATCAGTCGTACGAATGATGCCGAAAAGTGGAGCAATGGTCATGGTCATTTTGCTGTTTTGTTTATTTTATTTGTAATTTTCTAGAAAAAACCTGGCGCGCATCAATTTTGGAGCCTCTCCCGCCAGCACGGTCCCATCCATCTCATGCATGTATATAATCTCTGATGGCTTATTCCATTTCCGCACGCACGTGATAGATATATCACACATCATCCATCCATCCATCCATCCATCCATCATCAAAAGAGTGTTGCAACATTGGCGACTCGGACATCGACAGCATAACCTTCTGAAGCCATCCCATCTTCCTCTATTTTCCTACCCTCACAGCACAGGAGAATCAATCATCAATCCAATCGTGATGATTATGATGATGGCCATGACCACGACGACCACTGCCATTCATCGTCAATCCTCCTCCTCAACTATTGTATCAGTCTTGCTTATTATTAATATGCTGGTGGTAGGAGGCACAATAAGTGTCGTCACTGCGGAAGAAATCTCCCCAGAATCGCTGTTCCATCAAGCCGTTGAAGCCTGGCAAATGTCAGGAACCAAGAATTACAAACCCTTTGACCAATTGGCCGATGTCTTGCTCGAACGATTTGAATCATCGTCATCGTCAGTAGCATCATCAGAAGCATCATCACAAGGATCTTCTTCTTCACAAGCATATTCAGAAGCCAATCACAGACTGCCGATAGTTGGTGCCATGGAAGAGAGCATTCTCGTATTGGAACGGTTTATCTTCGAGCAACAACAAGGACGAGAAGAAACAGTTCGCGATCAGACATTGTCCCACTTGTACGTTGTGTATGCCACAGCCCTGTCGCAACTGAGCGGTATCGAATGCCGGGCACTGGCACTGGATCCCCACACTCTCTTGATTGGAGCCGACACAGTACACCACAACCCAAACAATAATAATAATAATAATAATAAGGCACACCAGGCACAGTTATTGTGCGTGGAAAATGCCGAAAACGCGGCCCGGAATGCGGCTACCTTGGATGCCACCAATACTCGGGCCCAAGCCCTGTTGGAACAACTCTTGCCGTCCAACGACGGTAGTAGCATCCACGAACGCAAACCGAAAGAATTTGTCGCCGAGCTCTTTGATTCGTTTGCCAATTCGTTTGATGAAAAATTGTTGGATGGTCTCGCCTACAAGGTTCCGCAAATGGTGGGCAAGCTGGCACAAGAAATAATGTTGCGCGCGAACAACATCAACAACAACAAAGAAGAAGAACGACCCTTGTTTGAAAATGCATTGGATGCTGGATGTGGCACTGGATTGGCCGGTCGGTACTTGCGGCTTTTAGTCCAAGATAAACTTGTGGGTGTGGATGCGTCTTCCAAAATGTTAGACATTGCCAAGGGCTGCACTTTGCACAAGGGATGTGGTTTGAAAGAAGAAGAAGAAGACAAAAAAGAAGACGATGATTTAGGCAAGAACAAGACGCCGACAAAGGGTGATCGACCACTGTACGATGACTTGATGGTCTTGGACTTGGAAGAAATGACATTGGAAAATACATTGTATCGGCATTCCAACAAACTAGGAGAAGGATTTGATTTGATCGTGGCTGCCGACGTCTTTGTCTACTTTGGGAGCTTGGAAGCCGTCTTGAATACCTTTGCCAAAGTCTCCCGATCAAGTGCCACTTTAATATTTACGTGTGAAAAGGCACTGCCAAAAGAAGCACCCTTGGGATGGAGATTATTACCGAGTGGACGATTTGCCCATACCAAGGAACATGTGGTGGAAATGGCTCAAAAGGCAGGATATGAGTTGGAGACGTATCAAGATATCGTTCCGCGAATGGAAAAGGGCGAGCCAGTCAAGGGACATCTCTTTGGGTTTGTACTCCTGGGAGACAGTGAGAAAATCATTGATGATAAAGAACTGTAGAAAGTTAAATTTTGAATCATCCTTTATATAGGTACACGGTGGAATTTCAAATTGATTGTTGCAGTGGCATCAGAAAAGGCGCAGGATAGCATGCATGTGCACTACAAACCATCATGTAGCGATTTGGCACCGGGATTACAACCGTAGAACAACAGGAAAACTTGATCGGCGATGCTGGCTCGCCATAAGTGGTGCTTCCTGGTAAATATCCCGTCCATAAGTGAGGGAGAGTTTTATGTTCTTCGTGTAGCGATCGGTTCCAATATCACAAGAAGGGTCTCAAAAGCATATAACTCATTGGTAGTTATTGGGATGCATATTACAACAGCGACATTCTCCTTTTTTCTACTTAACGACACCAAGTTCGCCAAAAGCGCTTCTAAATGCGACCACCGAAATTAACGGCTATCGGAATACCAAATAACCGCTTCTTTTCTAACCAATGCGCGGCTAATAATGATTTGAGTCTGTAGCAACGTTTTTAGTACAAGCATTTGTATCGATTAATAGTAGTTAAAGCAATGCAATTCATAGTGCGTTCATGGCTCTGCTCGAGGCATCTAGTACCTATCTAGCTTGATTTGAAACCTTCAATTTCGCAATTGGAAAGCAACCACTTCGTCATCGCTGTTCCATGTTCTACACATGGATTGGAGTCACAAGCCACTCCCGTCCCAATCCCTCTCTATTCCGGTTGTATTGCAAGCCGTTCGGCAGGATTTTGAAGGGTGACATTGATGTTATCACTTCTTGACCTTCCCTGTTGATTCTGAAGTAGACAAAAGATGATTAGAAGAGATTTCGAGACTTCGATTACTGATTCAATCAGTCTGATAGACTCTGACTTACGTTGTATTGTGTCATCTCCTCGTGCAATTGATCCATCACGCTAGCACACTGTACTCTACCTTGGACTTCTTCTTGAACTTCTTCTTGAACAGCCTTCAATCGTCGCAAAAGCAAAAGAGTGGTGAGCAAAATGATCAAGGATAAGAACATCGAATGAGACAAACAGTGCAATGATGAGACTCACCTTCGTTTTGTTCTTCTTCTGCTTCTTTGAATGATCCATTGGAAACACTATTATCTGTTATTTCCCATACGCCTCTTCCCATTCATTGATGCATCAAAACATCGCTACACTATGTTGATACTGTACCTATTATTTCCATCAGGGTTGTGTGGTGTGTGGTATGCATGCTGGAAAATGGCTGGATGTCAGAAAATTGTGATTTTTGACTTGAAACTTGGTTTTCATTCCTGGTAGGAATTGAACGACAAGCTCGTAGAAATGCGCATGCCGGGTACCACAATGACCTTGAATCCGATCAATTCGATCCTAAATTCCAATACCCAGGGCCTAGATCCAAGTTGTGTAACTAACGACCATGTTGCGGTAAGAAATATTGGTATTTGACCATGCGCCCTTTCTTATATGTACATAGATTAGACACTCATGCATTTAGATTCGGAAATAGTGGCCTTGGATAGACGGGAAACGAGGAAAACCACCATGACATTCCCAAACCAAGGTCTATGTCCGAGTCTTGGTCAAAACGGCACTATTCTGGTTACAAATCATTCTATTCCTGTGCGTGATAGTTATTAGTTATGTAACCTTAATAGATCCAGGCCTCGTGATCTGGAAATCTATGTCATTTCAAAGGTGAGAACGCGTCTTTTGGCTCATCATAGGAACAAAGCTGTTTTCGTGGAGTCGTAGATCTTGAGTCCAGCATTTAACTTCTTCCCAAGATCTACAAAACAATGTCCAAAACCGATCACCATAGACCTAGAACAAAAGATGATAAGGGTTCACGATGTCTGAGCAGTTGTGAGATCATCGACATCTCATCAGAACAAGTTGCTGATGATGAGAGAAATTCGATTCACCACATGCCCAGACCGAGATCCCTGTACTTCTAGACTATTAAACCCCCAAAGTACTCTCCCAATCCTTTCTCTATATATTTATTAGTTACAAGAGAGGTGTTAGATTGACCAGTGCACTAGCATTTGTTAGAAAACTCCGGGACCCATTTTTATCTCTTTGTTCTGTTTCCGCCATTCAGATTTCAAATAGTCATCCAAACGACGGTCATGTCACTCACATTCCTGCCTCCGGACCAGGTATTGTCGTTTGATGGTACTATACTTTGGTTGTGGTATGAAAGAATTAAAGGAGTTTTGTCCTCTTGTCACCCTTTCCACCTGAAATTGATTCTGCTTTTGAATTGTTAGCCATTCAGATTTCAAATAGTCATCCAACCATCGGTCAAGTCACTTACATTCTTGCCTCCGGACCAGGTATTGTCGTTCGATGGTACCATACTTTGGTTGTGGTATGAAAGAATTAAAGGAGTTTTGTCCTCTTGTCACCCTCTCCACCTGAAATTGATTCTGCTTTTGAATTGTTAGCCATTCAGATTTCAAATAGTCATCCAACCGTCGGTCAAGTCACTTACATTCTTGCCTCCGGACCAGGTATTGTCGTTCGATGGTACCATACTTCGGTCCTAGTGTGAACGAATTAGAAAGTTCGCTCCTCTTGTCACCCTCTCCACCTGAAATTGATTCTGCTTTTGAATTGTTAGCCATTCAGATTTCAAATAGTCATCCAACCGTCGGTCAAGTCACTTACATTCTTGCCTCCAACCCAGATATTATCGTTCAATAATACCATACTTCGGTCCTAGTGTGAACGAATTGGAAAGTTCGCTCCTCTTGTTACCCTCTCCACCTGAAATTGATTCTGCTTTTGAATTGTTAGCCATTCAGATTTCAAATAGTCATCCAACCGTCGGTCAAGTCACTTACATTCTTGCCTCCAACCCAGATATTATCGTTCAATAATACCATACTTCGGTCCTAGTGTGAACGAATTGGAAAGTTCGCTCCTCTTGTTACCCTCTCCACCTGAAATTGATTCTGCTTTTGAATTGTTAGCCATTCAGATTTCAAATAGTCATCCAACCGTCGGTCAAGTCACTTACATTCTTGCCTCCAACCCAGATATTATCGTTCAATAATACCATACTTCGGTCCTAGTGTGAACGAATTGGAAAGTTCGCTCCTCTTGTCACCCTCTCCACTTGAAATTGATTCTGCTTTTGAATTGTTAGCCATTCAGATTTCAAATAGTCATCCAACCGTCGGTCAAGTCACTTACATTCTTGCCTCCAACCCAGATATTATCGTTCAATAATACCATACTTCGGTCCTAGTGTGAACGAATTGGAAAGTTCGCTCCTCTTGTCACCCTCTCCACTTGAAATTGATTCTGCTTCTGAATTGTCAGCCATTCAGATTTGAAGTAGCCATCCAACGGTAGGTCAAATCACTTACATGCTTGCCTCCGACCCAGATAATATCCTTCGGTGGTACCATACTTAGGTCGTGGAGTAAAAGAATTAAGAAAGTTCCCTCCTCTTGCCATGCTGGGTCGAAAGCAAACCGTTTTGATTTTGTTTGTTTGGTTTCATGACACAGTAGATGTCAACTTGCTAACCGTAAATGTGACACCAAGGCAAGCAAGAGCGCGAGTCGCGTTCCAGCAGTAATAATTGACATAATTAGAACCTACCATGACTTGCTAGGTCGTCGCTTGAGCACACAGGGTCGACTGTCACACAATACGAGTCTCAGAGTCTCATTTGAATCCAGAAATTTCCCAAAAGTCTTCACTTCGGTTGGTTGATTGGTGCATGGATGCAATATTGCCAATAGAAGGACTTGCAGAGTATTCATTTCCCGTAGCGCATTGCAATTTATCCATTCTTGATGCAACATCACTAGTCGAACATACCCTTGAAAACAAGCGGTGATGAGTGCTGAGCACCAGAGAAACTCCAAAATCCATCTTGTTGGGCGGCGAAAGGGCCAAAATTGACACTTTGTTTGAAACAGAATGGTTCAAAACACCAATTAGATGCATATTGTTTGAGATCGTATCATTCTATTGCAATTCTTGATAGCAGGAGATGACATTGGGTTGGTGCTGTTGTCGGACTCCATTTTTGGGAAAATCTGTGACATTCGGCAGTGAGGATTTTTCAAGTGGCGGGCAATCCTCGAATCCTCACTGCCGAATGTCTCAGATTTTTTGTGTAGAAACATACTAAAAGTAGTCACACAGCACATAAGTTGACTTCGCTAAAAAGGAAACGCATTCTGCGATTTTTATGGCTGCAATTGCGAACGTTTACCAGTTGAGGAGGCACGTGCACTATTTTCTTCAAATATTTACTTAGGGTTTTTGTTCATTTCTCAAGGAGTCGAAAACCTCTACTTATTGGCGTCAAAATTGACAAATGACTACTTAAAGGGAAAATTTCAAAGCCAA